TTCACTCTGCGTCCAAACTCTAGAACATCGAGATTTGCCCCACCTCCCCACCTCCAGCCCTCCTCCTCCTTCCTCTTCCCCCTTTGGACTTTGATACACATCTTACTCATAATCCTTCTATTTTTACAACAACAGTCTTACACAATATTTGTCCTTATGAGACTGAGTTATTTCACTCAGCATTATGCTGTCTAGCCTCTCCCATGTTGTATAGTATTTATCATAATCATTGCTCCTGAGTGTTGCATTGTATTCCATTGCGTGAATGTTCCACTCAGACAATGGTCAGCACTCCCTGTTTTATATCCTAGTTGTTGTTGTTATGTGACTTCGAGTTACTTGTGACTCATAGCGACCCTATGAGTCACAAGTAACTCGACCCTAAACCCTGCTCTATCCTGTGACAATCACACTGTCTCTGACACACCCATCCCGATTACCCCAGTCACTGAATAAATGCACCTCATAGAGGGTCTTTTCCTCCTATGCTGTCCCTCCACCCTCCAAGCATGATGTCCCTCTCCAAGGACCCTCCTTACAACATGTCCAAAGTATGTCAGACGAAGCCCCAGAATCCTTGCTTCCAAGGAGCAGCCTGGTTTAACCCTCACCAGGATGAATCTGTTTGTTTTCTTGGCAGTCCATGGTATATTCAATACGCTTCTCCAGCACCACAGCTCAAAGGCATCAATTCTCCTCCTACCCTCCCTAGTCATTGTCCAACTCTCTGATGCATAACAAGTGATTGCAAAGACCATAGCCTGTATCAGATGCACCTTAGTCTCCAGAGTGACACCATTGCTCTTCAATGCCTTGGAGAGGTCCCTAACAGCAGACTTTCCCATCACAATACGTTTTTTTATTTCCTGGCTGCTTGTGCCAAGAATGTTGACCATGGAGCCAAGCAAACTAAAGTTGTTAACAATCTCCAGTCTCTTCACCATCTATCCTGATGCTGCCAATTGGTCCAGTGGTGAGAATCATTGTCTTCTTGATATTGAGCCTCAATCCATACGGGAGGCTACAGTCCTTGACCCTCTGCAGCAAGTGCTTCAGGTCCTTCTCAGTTTCAGCAAGCAGGGTTGTGTCATCTGCATAATGTAGATTGTTGATAAATCATCCACCAATCTTGACTCCACATTTCTCCTCATAGAGCCCAGCCTCCTGGATAATCTGTTCTGCATATAGGTTGAAAAGGTATGGAGATAGAATGCATCCCTGGCATACACCTTTCCCAATTTTGAACCATGCAGTGTTTCCCTGCTCTGTTCTGATGACTGCCTCTTGGTCCAAGTATAGGTTTTGCATTAGCACAATCAAGTGTTCTGGATTCCCATTCTTCTCAGAGTCAGCCACAGTTTGTTATGGAGCTGGTCATAAAACCATATTTGTTGTTGTTGTTTACTCCAGCTGACCCTGCAGCGGCTGAGAGGCAGTTAATCACAAGGGAGAAGACTGCCCATCTTTCTACCTTGGAGCAGCTGGTGGATTTGAATCTCATGCCTTTGGGATTGCAACGCAGCTTTTTATCACCAGGCCACCAGAGCTCCCTGAACTGTGTTTAGGGGTAAACATTAATCAGATTATTTACTATTTCCTCGAACACATGTGTTCAAAATGAGTCAGAAGGTCAGTAAAATGGAATTACTTTTGTTTCAGCCTTATGAAAGGTAGAGGGTTTAGGCTTTGGATACATGTAAGAAAGGAATATTTTCAGCTTTTTCATCTCCTTACTACCATACATCATCAAATGTTGCATTGCAGGAAAAGAAATTTAACTGATGTATGTTGTTGTTGCTAAGTGCTGCTGAGCTGAGTACAATGCATAGGGATCCTATGAACAGCCAACCTGAAATGTTCCCTATCCTGTGCCATCCTCACCATCTCTGACATACTAAAGCCCATTGCTGAAGTCACAATCCCAATCCATCTTGTTGGGAGTCTTCCTCTCTTTCTGTGACTCTCCATATTTCCAAGTATGATATCCCTTTCCAAGGAATAGCCCCTCCTAGCTTCACGTCGATAGTATGAAAGATGAAACTTCATCATCCTTGCTTCCAAGGAGCACTCTGGCTGTGCCCTTTCTAGGATATAATCTGTTGGTTCTTTTGGCAGCCCTGGATATTCAGTATTCTTTTTGAGCATCACAACTCAAAGACATAGTTTCTGTTAGGTCTTCGCACTGGATGTAAGGCCAAGGACTAAAGGAAAGGACCAGAGAAAGTAAGCTAAAACAGCTTTATTTGGGGGGGCTCTCAGGCTCTGGAGGGAGAGAGAGACCAGGGAAAAATTGTGCCCTAAGGTAGACTCAGGCAGGTTTTTATAGTGAGGGTCTTTAGAGAGTGAAGTGAGGGACATTCCATTGTGGTTTAGTCAGGTGGGTGAGCTGTTCATTCCCTTTGTTGACACGTTGATATTCTTTGAATCCTTCATTCTCCTCTTTGACCTTAGTCTGAGCCTGACAATTTCTTCTTCTGTCATCCTTATTTATTGTCGAGCTCTCTGATGTGTGTGTAAGCAGGTGATTGAGAAGATCACGGTCTGAATTAGGTACTTTTGTCTTCAAAGTGACATCATTACTCTTCAGTATTTTGAAGAAGTCCTTGACAGCTGATTGGCCCAATGCAGTATGTCTACTGGTTTTCTGACTGGTGGTACCAAGGGTGTTGATTTTTATCCAATCGAGATGAAATCATTGGCGGCTTCAATCTTTTCTCCATCTATAATAATGTTGACTGTTGGACCTGTGGTGAAGATCTTTGTCTTCCTGATGTTGAGATGTAATCCATACTGAAGGTTGTAGTCCTTGATCTTCTGCAGCAAGTGTTTCATATTGATGTATAGTGTATTTAAAAACATGTTGTTGTTGTTGTTATGTGCCGTTGAGTCGCTTGCGATTCATAGTGACCCTATGTACAACAGCCCTGTCTGCTCTGTCCTATGCCAATGTCTCCGAAACACCCATCCCGATTACCCCAGTCACCAAATCAATCCACCTCCTAGAGGGCTTTCCCCTTCCGCACCTGCCCTCCACCCTACCAAGCATGATGTCCTTCTCCAAGGACCGGTCTCTCCTACAACATGACCAGAGTACCTCAGATGAAGCCTCAGAATCCTTGCCTCCAAAGAGCAGCCCGGTTTAACCCTTTCCAGGATGAATCTATTTGTTTTCCTAGCAGTTTCAATACTCTCAATACTCTTCTCCAGCACCATGGCTCAAAGGCATCAATTCTCCTTCTATCCTCCTTGGTCAGTGTCCAGCTCTCTGATGCATAACAAGTGATTGCAAAGACCCTGGCCTGTATCAGACGCACCTTAGTCTCCAGAGAGACACCACTGCTCTTCAGTACTTTAGAGAGGTCCCTAACAGCAGACTTTCCCATCGCAATACGTCTTTTAATTTCCTAGTTGCTGGTGCCAAGAGTGTTGATTGTGGAGCCAAGCTGACTAAAGCTGTGAACAATCTCAATCTCTTCACCATCTATCCTGATGCTGCCAATTGGTCCAGTGGTGAGAATCTTTCTCTTCTCGACATGAGCCTCAATTTATATTGGAGGTTGCAGTCCTTGACCCTCTGCAGCAAGCGCTTCAGGTCCTTCTCAGTTTCAGCAAGCAGGGTTGTGTCATCTGCATAACACAGATTGTTCCTAGATCTTCCACCAATCCTGACACGATACTTTTCCTCATAGAGCCCAGCCTCTCGGATGATCTGTTCTGCATACAGGTTGAAAAGGTATGGAGATAGTACACATCCCTGGCGTATGCCCTTCCCAATTTTGAACCATACAGTGTTTCCTTGCTCTGTTCTGATGACTGCCTCTTGGTCCAAGTATAGGTTTTGCATTAGAACCATCAAGTGTTCTGGGATTCCCATTCTTCCTAGAGTCAGCCACAGTTTTTTATTATCCACACAGTCAAATGCTTTTGCATATGCAATGAAGCACAGATAGACATTCCTCTGGTACTCCCTGCTTTCAGTTAAGATCGATCTAACATTAGCTACAATATCCCTAGTACCACGACCCCTTCTAAACCCAGCCTGGACTTCTGGCAATTCTCTGCTGATGTGCTGTTCCAGTCGTTTTTGAATAATCTTTAGCAGAATCTTACTTGCATGTGCAATCAATGATATTGTTTTATAGTTTCCACACTGTGTTGGGTCACCTTTCTTTGGAATGGGAACAAATATAGATCTCTTCCAGTCAGTTGGCCAAGTAGTTGTTCTCCAGATTTAAAAACATATGTATATTTAAATAAACAATACAAGGCTTCAGCTAATACCTAGATCATGTTCATGAAACATTAAATATGAATGTTTTCATTTTGATGGCATCCATCCACAAAATGCCAAACTCTGATTACAGGATATTCTTATATAAAATTGAAAAAAAATCATTCTTTTCTACAGTAGAAAGTGGCTGGATCTCACACAGTGGTCACTTACCATAAGACTATTACATGTTTCCATCTGGGGAGAGGGACTAATTTCTACACATTTAAATTCTCAAGAAGGCTGAGAATAGCATCTTCTAACCAATGAGCATCATCAGTTCCTTTAGCTTTGCTTAGTGACTCTCACTCCTGTCCTATTCACCTATGCTCCAGAAAATTTTCCACACGACGGGGAAAAGCTGAAGACTACCATTCCCGTCATGCTTATAAAAGAACTCTCGGACCTCATCGCTGTTCGTCAACCTGCCCCCCTTCTACTTCCGGGACTACAGGCCTGAGCGTAGCAGGGGGCCGGCACACACGCAGCTACCGACAAAACAACACGAAGCAGGGCGGGTGGGCGGAGTTTCAGTCTACGAATGGCGTCACGTGACGCCGGTGCTCTTCCGTCTCGCGCTTGCGCGTCTCCCAGGGGCCCCACTTCCGGGCGGGTGTGCGAGTGCGGAGCGGGAGGCGGGGGCTGGGCCATCTGGGGCTGCGGGGGCCGTAGGCTCGACTGAGGTGGGAGGGCGGGGCCGGCGCCTGGACCACGAAGAGGACACCCGAGTGAGCGCCTGGGCCCGAGGGGAACGATGCTGTGGTTCCAGGGCTCCATTCCGGCCGCCATCGCGTTGGCCAAGAGGAGCGGTTCGGTCTTCGTGGTGTTCGTGGCAGGTAAAGGGGGCGGGGCCCGACGTGGGTCGGCGGCACCCGCTCTGGCCTGCGGTGACCCCTTCCGTACCTTGGTTGTCAGTTTTCTCGTTGTGTTTGACTCCCAGCCTTAGAGACGCCCCTATGCAGCCTCTCTCCCCGTAGCTGCTGTGCAGACCGCGAACCGCTCTTTCTTAAGGCGCCGGCGCCCCAGACTTTGTCGGTCGCCGAGAACTCCGGCCTCCTGGTCCTTTAGTCCCCGCGTCTCTCCCTTCGCTTAGGCCCATGTCAGGCCTGGGCCCTGCCGCCCGCCTGACCCCGAAGCGCCGGGCCGGCCGCTGTGCGCAGGGAGCGGGGCGGTGGCGGCGCGCGGGCCAGGCCCCCGCTGACCCCCGCCGCTTTGGGGCGCAGGCCCCCGACCCTGCCCGCAGGGCCGCTGTCCAACTTTAGGCCCCGAGGACCCACCCAGTCGCTCTGAAGCCCGCTTAGCGCCAGGTGTTCGGATGGCCCATTCGACGCGTAGTGAGTTCATAATCAGTCGTGAGCTTTTCAGCAAGAAAGCTGTGTCATCGTTAAACGACAAAAGGAAACCACCTGATGTGTGCGGTGTCAGGTTCCTGGAGCGTAAACTTTTGAATTTAACGGGGAGTTTGATTTTTAGTTTATAAGTGACAGCGTAAGAGGCAGGGAAGGGTTTAAGGTGCGTTAATTTCTTTTTTGCAAATTTTACCGTTTGATCCGAAGGCACGGACTTTGAGGCCATAGTTCTTCCCATTGTTGGTCCTCCTGTCGAAAATCTTAAACCTGTGTGGTTCAGGGTTATGTTGTGCCATACCGTTTATTATTGAATTCGGCTAGATTTACAGTATATACCTCATGCAATGGGGTTATGGGTTTAGGGGATTTTCATTACATGAACGAAATGTTAGTGACTAATAACTAATTTGAAGTGTATAATTTCTTCAATTTGTAATTATCTGCCATAATAGACACTGCAGTGAAGAACAAGCTGTTACTCTTAATTTTTGTCAGAGTGCCGTTAATTGGAAGAGCTTGATACTATAATCCCTTTAATATTCTCTCTTTTAATAGCTGTGTTTTACATAAATAATTGCATAATCCTTAAAGAAAAAGTGAATCAAAGCGAGGATAATGGGTTTGGTTTTATTAGGATATACTTTAAACAAGCAAGCATCAGTGGCGTTGAGTTTTCTTTAATTCACTGTGTTAATACCAGACTGAGTTGAACTGCCCCACAGTGTTTACAAGGCAGTAATCCTTCTGAAAGTAAACTGCCATGTTTCTGTCCCTCAGAACAGCTGGGTAGGTTTGATGTCCTGACCTTGGTTTGTGGCTAAACATTTAACAGGGCACCATCACATGCTCACGAGTTAGTAGAGTTGGGATTTGTTCATAACAGTTGGAACTCTTCATGGCCGATCTTCCAGTGGTTTTCCAAGGCTGTAAATTACTCAGAAGGAGATTGTCCATCCTTCTCTCACAGAGTTGCCGATAACATTAGAACTGCAGTAAATGGGTTAACAGCACTACACCATCAGGGCGTATTTTTGTTAGGTACCCACCCAGTCAGTTCGTCTCACAGGCCCTTTGGACAACAGATCGAGACATTGCATGCATGATCCTGTGCCATCTTCACACTCACTGACCTCTCTTAGAACAGTAATAGTTGTATGATTAAGTTGTATTTTACTCTTAATCCTTTTCATTTTATTGTGTCCTTTAAGGGATGAGGAAACTTAACTATCAGCATTAAATGACATGTACCAGTGTCATAAGATTTGCATCGTGTCTTGTTCAGAATCTTAGCAATTAAAAAAAAAAAGAAATCTTATTTCCTTGGCAAAAACCAACGACTATAATTATAGGTTGCTTATGTAGCTACTGAAATTGGTGTAGAAATGTAGGATATGGTGACTCAACTCACTCATTGCTATCGAGTTGAAACTGGAGGAGGTTGCCCATCTTTCTCTCAACAAGCCTTTGGTTGATTTGCCAGTCTTTGGATTGGCAACATAGTTCCTTATGGACTGTGCTACTGGAGTGCCCTCGAATATGGTAGTTACATATTTAAACAAAAAACATTACCCATTGTCTCTGAACATTCCTAGAAAGTTAGTTGTTCAGTACTGCTGCATTGATTTCCAGCTTAAGTAGACCTGTGCATAATAGAATGAAATACTGTTCAGTCCTGTGTTACCTTCACAGTTATGTTTGAGCCTACTGTTGCATTGATGTTAGTCCATTCTCTCTTTTTTTTCCTGACCTTCCAGGGACTGATTCCTCCAATCTACATATCACGTATATAAGAGAATGTTTCTTTATCCTCCCACCTAAGGACCATCCTGGGTTTACTACTTCTGAAAGGATTTTTTTCCTTTTCCTTCTGGCAGTTCATGTTATAGTTAGTATTTTTCTGCTTTGGGGTTTTTTTGTTTTTTAAATTGTGATCTTAATGAGAGTTTACAGAAAGTTCTCTTTGATGAATTTTCCTCCCTTGCCCTGCCTTCCCCCTCCCCCAGTATACCCTCTAGTGCATGTCTTGTTCTAGATGTTAATTGTCATGCATATAATGCATAATCATACATTCCTTTCAGACAGTCCTGTCCTTCATGTGTTCCAGTGCAGTGTTATTATCGGTTCACTCTTTTCTCTTCTCTTGACTGCCCTTAGTGTCAGTCCAGTTTTATAATAGCACTCTTGTGCAATATGTGTTCTTTTTTAAAAATTTAATTTTTGGCTTTTCATTCACATTGTGTTTCATACAATCTTTCTTAAATATTTCTTGTAAAATTAACCAACATTGATCTGGGCCCACTACTAAGTCATCTTTTCAGATCCCCACTGGCTGTTTCCTAATACTATTTGCCCTTTTGTGACTGAGATATTTTTACTCAGCAGTGTCTTCTACGCTTATCCTTGTTGTATAATGTTTTACAAGTTCACTGATTTTCAGTCCTGCGTAATTTTCCATTGTGTATATGTATCATAGTTTTTTCTATCCATTTGTTTATTGATGGGCACCTGGACTGCTTCCATCTCTTGCTGCTTTGCAGCAGTAAACATAGAAATGCATACCTCTAGGGAGCTCTGGTGGCCAGTGGCAAGAAGTTGTACTGCAATCCCAGAGATATGTGGTTCAAATCCACCAGATACTCTGGCAGAGAAGGAGGGGCCATCTCCTCCTGTACCTGTCAGATACAATTTGACGATACACGCACAGAAAATAATGTTGTTTGTTGTTGTTATGTGCCGTCGAATTGCTTGCGACTCATAGCGACCCTGTGTACAACAGCCCTAAACTCTGCTCTGTCCTGTGCCAGTCGCATGGTCTCTGACACTCCCATCCCGATTATCCCAGTCACTGAATCAA